CCCCCCTGGCGGCTGGCGGCGGTTCCGGCGCTGCCCCTGGCGCCAGGGGAAGGGGGCCGCAGCGCCGACCCAGGAAAGCCGCGCAGACTTCCGACAGTTTGAATTTGTTTTCTCTTCTACGGTGGGGGCGTTTATTAAGGACTGCTCAGGAGGCTCTAGACCCCGAGGAATTCTTTGTCTGATGAGGGCGGCCGTGATACCCATGGCCGATCCATCATTGGATTTCCACCAGCTTCCAGACCGTGGATTCCTTATCCCATGAAGCCTTATTCAATGCCCTCACGGTGGGGTTCTTCCCGAGTGCCCGCGAAAGGGCCCCGGGCTTTTCATCTTGAGCTGTTTTTTGACGGCCCCGTGGCTTGGGGAAGGGCCCCGAGGACGCTGGAAGTGGCTTAACGAGCCTCAGGACCTGCTTTCTTCCATGGAGCGTGTTTCTTTATCGCTTTGGGCACAATAGGCATTTAGCCCCCCCGGCTCCCCTCCCATAACGTAACGCCCCTCCACCCCCAGTGCGCTCCGGGCACTGCCGCCGTGCGCATCGGGATCCCCGTCGGCGTCCGCATAGGAATCCGCATAGGAGCCTGGTCCGCATTGAAAATCTCATGGGGACCCGCAGAGGCATGCGCATGCGCATCTGCATACGGATCCGCACTCCGCGTAAGGAGCCGCACAGGAATTCGCATAGGGATTCGCATGGCACTGCGCATGGGCATCCGCATAGGCATCCGCATGGGGATCCGCATCGGGATCCGCATGAGCATCCGCATAGGCATCCGCATCGGGATCCGCATCGGGATCCGCATGAGCATCCGCATAGGGATCCGCGCACGGAGTCGCATAGGGATCCGGATGTTGTTCGTCCGTCATTGGCGAACGAGCAACACACACCCATACCTATAGGGGGCGGAGGAGGCTATGGGTGCGAGTTGTCGGACGGGGGCCCTCGCTCGAACGGGATCCTCCCCCGCAGTCCGACCACCCGCACCGAAAGTTACCCATAGCCAGTCCTCCTCGCTCCGACCTCCCTTTGGGTATGGGTCCTCCTCCTCCTCCTCCTCCTCTTCCTCCTCCTCTTCCTCCTCCTCCTCCTCCTCCTCCTCCTCTTCCTCCTCCTCCTCCTCCTCATCCCCCTCCTCGTCCTCCTCATCCTCCTCCCCCTCCTCCTCTCCTCCTCCTCCCTATGGGTATGTGTTGTTCGTGCCCCTCCACCTTCGGTCCTCCGCGCGGCCGCCCTTTCCCCTCTCCGTGTTCCCCCTCCTGCACGCCGACTAAGTCACTTCTTGGTCGCCCCGAACCGCCACTGGCTGGAGCAGCTTTTCTGCCTCGCCGCTCAAAAACGTATGTCTCGAGGCTGGACAGAACCCCCACCCTGACACGTCGATTAGTGAATTGTCCGTTGTCGGTTCTCGAGAGGGCGCCGCGGCCGTCATTTTCCAGGCTTGCGCCCGCCAGGGTTGGGCCCGAGGTCCTTTTCTCGAAACCACGTTTTATAGAGGGGGTTCTGTCCATCCCCGAGTGTTGTTCGTTCGTCGTTCCAGGACCCCTTCTCTTCGCGGCGGAAGATTGCAAAAAACCCTTCGTTTGCACGAAGGATTGCCAACAAAAACCCTCGTGTTTTTGCAATCCTTCGTTTTTTTGCAATCCTTCGCTCCTGCGCGGTATAGGAGGTGCTGGGCAGGCCTCGCGCTGCCGATCCCGATCCCGCGCCCCCGGGGCCTCGACCCTGCGACTGCCTCGCCACCGGGAAGTCGCCTCGGGGCCCAGGAGACGGGGGTCACCGCAAGCCAGGGTCAGCCAGGGCGCCAGATCTTGCATCGGAGAGCACCAACTATACACCAACACCGATCCTGGCCCAGGATCAGCCTGGGCCCAGGATCGGTGTATATGCCTTCTTGCGCAAGGCAGGAGGGCGTATACACCGATCCTGGGCCCAGGGTGATCCTGGGCCAGGATCGGTGTTGGTGCATAGTTGGTGCCTTCCTACTTGCAGGATCCTGCAGCGCCATGGTCGCGCACTGGCGCGGGCTCGGGTGCAGGATCCTGCAGGGTCCTGCAGGATCCTTCGCATTGACCCGGGTTTGGGGTGCAGGGTCTTGCAGGAAGGCCTGACTGACCCGGGTCTGGATTGACCCGGGTCAGCAGATCCCCGATCGCACCCAGACCCGTCCTGGAGTGCGTTTCGGCTAGAGTTTCTAGATGTTCAGCCATGGCGACGAGGAGCTTCCCAGAGGCCCTAATTAAGCGAAAGAAATGCTGACAAAAAGCTCGAACTTCGATCCTCGATCTTTCCCCCTCCTCGTCGCGCTTGCCCCTGCGACCGGCTTGGCTTGACGGTGCTGAGCCTTATTGCTGACTGTCTTGGGACCCGGTAAGGGTCTGGATAAGACGAAGCTTTGACGAGGATAACATCGGATAAGGACAAATCGAGAATCTCTGAGATCAGGCGGATCTGCAGGATGTCTCGGGCGCCGCTGCCTTCTCAGAGCGTTGCGGAGCGCTCTGCAACGGATTTGTCCTCGCCCAGACCCCGTCCTAGTGGAGGGAACCGTCCGTCGCGTCTCCGACGAGGAGGAGGAGGAGGAGGAGGAGGAGGAGGAGGAGGAGGAGGAGGAGGGAGGAGGAGGAGGAGGAGGAGGAGGAAACGCGGAGGAGGAGGATGAGTGAGAGGAGAGGCGGAGGAGGAGGAGGTAGGAGGAGGAGGAGTGAACCGAGGGGGCAGGTAGGAGGAGGAGGAGAGGAGGAGGAGGAGGAGGAGAGGAGGGAGGAGGAGGAGGAGGGAGGAGGAGGAGGATGAGGAGGAGGAGGAGGAGGAGGAAAACGTGTCGTAGGAGGAGGAGTGAGGAGGTGGAGGAGGAGGAGGAGGAAGGAACGAGGAGGAGGGGGAACGAGGAGGAGGAGGAGAGGAGGAGGTGGAGGGGAGGAGGAGGCGAGGAGGAGGAGGAGGAGGAGAGGAGGAGGGGAGGAGGGAGGAGGAGGGAGGAGGAGGAGGAGGGAGGAGGAGGAGGAGGATGGAGGAGAGGAGGCGGAAACGAGGAGGAGGAGGAGTGAGGAGGAAAGGAGAGGAAGGAACGGGAGGAGGGGGAAACGAGGAGGAGGAGGAGGTGGAGGGAGGAGGAGGTGGAGGAGGAGGAGGAGGAGGAGGGACAGGCACCCACGTCGTGTCTCCGACGATGGCGCCCGATGCTCAGGCCGACGGTGGCAGCTGGAGCTGCGAGCAGCTGGGTCCGCGGGCCCCCGAGAGGGCGCCGTGGGTGGAGGGCGCGGGCCTCGGATCCCCCTCGTCTGGCGCGGCGCACGGGGGGGGGGCGGGGGGGGGAGGGCGGGCGGGTGGGGTGGGAAGCCGGGCCGAGAAGCTTGAATGGGATGAGAACGACGACGTCTGATGATGATGATGATGGTGATGATAATGATGATGATGCTGGTGATGATGATGACGATGCTGATGACGATGATGATGCTGATGATGATGCTGATGCTGTGATGATGATGTTGATGGTGCTGACGATGCTGATGATGATGCTGATGCTGATGCTGATGATGATGCTGATGATGATGATGCTGGTGGTGGTGGTGTTGGTGATGGTAATGATGATGATGATGATGATGATGATGATGCTGATGATGATGATGATGATGACGATGCTGCTGCTGATGATGATGATGATGATGCTGTTGCTGCTGATGAGGATTAGTTATGATGATGAGAAGGAGGATGAGGAGCATGATGATGATGCCGCTGATCATGATGGTGATGGTGATGACGGTGGTGATGGTGATGGTAGTTGTGATGGCGATTGTGATGATGCTGCTGCTGACGATGATGATGCTTATGATGATGCTGATGATGATGATGCTGCTGCTGATGATGATGATGATGATGATGATGATGCTGATGATGATGATGATGATGATGACGATGGTGTTGATGGTGGTCACGATGACGATGGTGATGACGTGGAGGAGGGGGATGGGGAGGAACAGAGAGGAGAAGGACTAGGAACAGGAGGAGGGGGTCATGGATATGGACAGCTCGAAGTGATATAGCTCTGGAGCGCCTTACCCACGTCAGTGTGCCCAGCTTCCTGGTGGCATCGCCTTTGCGAGAACGTTGGCCACAAGCGTCCATCATGGCTGACACCCAAGGTCAGGACGATTATTGGGCAAAGCGAGGGTTCGCGAGGGGGGGTACCACTGACGCCGCTGGCAGGGGGAGGAGGAGGAGGAGGAGGAGGATGAGGAGGAGCAGGAGGAGGAGGAGGAGGAGGAGGAGGAGGAGGAGGAGGAGGAGGATTACCCATGGATTGTCCCAAGCCGTTTCTGCTTGGAGGGAGGAGCACGCGGGATGGGGATGGCGGTTAGGCAGGGGACGGCCTTGGCGGGGCCGCCAGTGTGTTGGATCTTGTTGTTGTTGGTTTTCTGTTGCCTTGCCCTTTCACTAGGTGCTCTTTGTGTTGGTTATTCCAGTGGTTTTTTTATTTAGTGGTTCTTTTTTGTGGTTTTGTTGTGTGTTTTGTTTTTTATTTATTTGGTTTTGTTTGTTTTTTTGGTATGTATGGTTTCTGGTGTTGCTTTTGTGGGTCGGTTGTTGTTTGCTTGTTTTTTTTTTTGTCTGTTATTGTTATTATTTATTTGGTGTGTTTTCTATTTTTTTTGTGTCTGTTGATTTTTGTGTAGGTGGTCTTGTTGTTTGTGGTTTTGTGTTGTGGTTGTGTTCTGTGTTTGTTCTTGTTTGTTTTTCTTGTGGTGTGATGAGGGGGAGTGAGGTGAGATGCAGGAGGACGACACGACGACCAGAACCGCGACGAGGAGGAGGAGGAGGAGGAGGAGGAGGAGGAGGAGGAGGAGGAGGAGGGCGATGACGCCCCCGCTTCCCTCTCTCCTCTCTTCCTCCTCCCCTGGCCCCCTCCTGGGAGGCGGTCTCTGGGGACCTTCTGTGTCATCCAGGAGTCCCCTCCCCGCTCTCCTCTCACCTGTCCTATGCAGCGGTGCCCCCCCCTGGTCCCTCTCCGCTCCTCTCCCTCCTTTACCATGTTTGCGTTGTACAGACTTTGAGCGTAGCTCGTAGCGTCGTGCAATATGACTCTCATGGGTCAGTGAAAAAACCCAGAGAGAATCAAGTGCAACTCGGAAAGGTGTGACCTCCTTCCTCCTGTTGCTCCTCCTCTTGTCGCCCGCTCGTCGTCTTCCCTCCCTTCTGGCCTCCCCCCTGTTTTCAGTTCTGCGTTCCGATCCGTCCTCCTCGTTACGACGATGAGGTGGCACATGCGTGGGCCGAATCTTGGAGGCCTTGAGGGCGATGACGATCACGATGGCGACGACAGCGAAGGGAGAGGATAAAGAGCAGGAGGGGTCGAATGGGGGAGAACGGGCAGGAGGCCTCCCCTCTGATTTCCTTCCCCCTCCCTACCCTTCCTCGTCGCACCGCCGGTCTTGTCGGTAGGGCGGTCCAGGTATTTCGCCTGAGAAGGTAGGGTGGTGGGGTGACCAGGCAGTTGCGCGAAGCCGCGGCACCACGGCCATCCTGCCTTGGTCGGCCCAGCCAGCAAGCCGCTTTCTCTGTAATTTCGGGAGACTCTCCATGGGATCCCCAGGGGATCCTGTGGCATCCCCCCCCTGGGATCCCATCCCCCCATGGGATCCCCCCCCGTGAAGAGTCTCCCGATAATTCGCCATTGGTCCGTTCGATGTGACGGAGCGTCGCCCGTGGGCACTTGTGTCCAGGTCTTGGAAAGGAGGATGAGGATGAGGAGGCGGGGGAGAAGTATGTGGACATGGAGGGGATGCAGGGGGCGCGGGGGGAGTAGGAAGAGATGCACAGACGGAGGAGACAGAGAGGAGGAGGAGGGGGAAGAGGAGGAGCAGGAGGAGGAAGAGGGGGAGGAGGAGGAGCAGGAGGAGGAGGAGGACGACGAGGAGGACGAGGAGGAGGACGAGGAGGAGGAGGAAGAGGAGGAGATGGAGGGGGAGGAGGAGGAGAAGAAGAAGGAGGAGGAGGAGGAGGAGGAGGAGGAGTGAGAGGAGGGCAGGAACAGGGGGGAGGAGGAGGATGATATACAAGAGGACCAATCTGGGACAGGAGGAGGACAACGACGAGGTGGAGAAACAGAAGGAAGACGAGGTGGAGGAGCAAGGATGAGGGTAAGGAGTTGGAGGGGAACTGCAGCAAAGAAGCGCTCTGCCGGGATCGCATGCGCGAGCCGTGAGCTTTCTTCTGGCAGGACGTGATGAACGGATGTGTCTGCCAAGGTTCGTGCACGCGCCAGGGGGAAGACTGCAGCTATTCAAGGTGCTGGTCTGTCCAACGTCGCGAATGTCGAGCGAGCCGAACCGTCGGATCGGGGGACCGGGCGAAGGGACAACAGGCGGCGCTGAAGGACACCGCGTGTTCCCACACACCTCAGCCAAGCTGTAAAACATGATGCATTTGGATTCTGCAAATTCTGGGCTTGAATGTCTTGCGAGACCGCATGGGCAGAGACCCTTGCCTGGAGGAGGAGCCCTACATCCACTCTTTAAACTTCGCAAGTTGATGGCCTCAGTGTAGGATGCCCAGCCGCTTGCGGCAGTCCCCTCCGCCGTGTCAGTGCAGCTCTGAAGCGCATTCGGGATGGTTCCTGTGCAGTGCCACGACACTGGTTGCGTTGGATGCCTGTTTTGTTTTGTGCTCGCTGGTCAGAAGCTTGTTGCTTGTTAGGACTTGGCCTCGTTGGGACCTCTCGGTTTCTTGGGGGCCTTTTGGGAGCTTGCTGGGGGTGTCTTTGGAGGGTTGGGTGGCCGCCTCCGGCGCAGCTGCTTCTGCCAAGCTCTTCCGCAGCGGCTCGGTAGACTTTTCGCCGTTTCTCTGCTTCTTGTTTCGCCGATCGGCGCGGGCCCCCGCCCCCCCCCCCTTTGCCCCCCCCCCCCCCTCGTAGACCAGATCGTGGCTGCTCTTGGCGACTGGTCGGGGCCCTTCTCCCCCAGTCTGGCTTGCGCGACTGGCACAAGCAGATCGACTGAGCGCCGGCCCAGGCCCAGGCGCTCCCCCCCCCCACACTTCGACCAAATGTCGACACCCAGAATACAGCAAGAATGCCTGCCTGATCCTGTGGCCGTCAGGGTTGCCTTGGGGCGGTCCTCGACCGTCATGGGGCGCTCGCGGGATGACCTCGCCGGGCCGTCTTCGGGCCGTCCAGGGGCCGTCTCGCGGGCTCGGTTGGGGCCCTCTTGGTTCCAGCCCCGAACTGAACGGCAGTCTTCGGCAGGTACGCGTCGGAAGCCTGGGCCCCACCCCATGAGAGCCCACACCGCACGGTTGAGTCCCACGCGGTGGGGTTCCATGCGATGCGGTCCCACCCGATAGGGCCCTGCCCCAGAGGGTCCCGCACGCTAGGGTCCAACATGTCAGGGTCCCACACGATAGGGTCTGCCATATCTGGTCCCACACGATATTGGCCTATACGCAGATGGTATCGAAGACGCCTACGACGAATCACCGCCGCCCCCCGCCTTCTAGAATCGCCCATGTGGCCGAGCGTTGTTGCAAAAGCTCTGCCAAGGTATCGGGCCATGTGTTCCCCAAATCGTTGTGGAAACCCTTCGGGGAACACTTGGGGGAGGATGGCGGGGAAGATCAAGAGAAGGCGAGAAGGAGGTGGTGGTGGAGGAGGAGGAGGAGGAGGAAGAGGAGAAGGAGGAGGAGGAGGAGGAGGAGGAGGAGGAGGAGGAGGGGGGCATCTTGGGAGCCTCTGGGGACACTGCTGGGGCCTCCGAGGAGCTCCCTGGGAGCCTCTTGGACCTTTGGGGGCTTCTCGGGGCTCTTTGGCCGTCTTGGTGGGCTCCTGGCCCGTCTGACGCCGTCGGAGACCGTCGTGGGGCCTCTCTGGGCCGACTTGGGGCCCTCTTGGGGTGCTCCAGGGCCGTCTTGGAGGCCATCTTGGGCGTCTTAAAGGCCTCTTGGGCCGTCTTGGGGGCCTCTTGGTGCCGTCTTGGGGGCCTCTTGGGCCGTTCTGGGGCCATCTTGCAGGCCTCTTGGGCGATCTTGGAGCGATCTTTGGGGCCTCTTGGGCCGTCTCGGTCCGTCGGAAGGCCGAACAGAAGCAAATGTCAAAATCCTTCAAAAACCTTAGGAACGTCAGTGTTTTGGGTCTTTTCTGGCTTTCCTGGAGGCCCTCTTGGAGGCCTCTTGGGCCGTCTTGGGCCAGCTTCGAGCCAACTTCGGCCATCTTGGTGGGTTCCTGGCACGTCTGACGCCGTCGGGAGCCGTCTTGGGGGCCTCTCTGAACCGACTTGGGGTCCTCTTGGGGCGCTTCGGGGCCGCCTTGGAGGCCATCTTAGGCGTTTTGGCGGTCTCTTGGGCCGTCTTTGGGCCCTCTTGGGGCCGTCTTGGGGGCCTCTTGGGCCGTCATGGGGCCCTCTTGGAGGCCTCGTGGGCGATCTTGGAGCGATCTTGGTGGCCTCTTGGGCCGTATTGAGCCGTCGGAATGCCGAGAAGAGGCAAATGCCCAAACCCTTCAAAAACCTAAGGACAAACAATGATTTTGGCCTCTTCGGGCCATCCTGAAGCACCTCTTGGAGGCCTCCTGAGCCGTATTGAGGCATCTTGCGCCGTCTTGGGCCATTTTGAGGTTATCTTACGCCATTTTGGGTACATCTTGGGCCGTCTTGGAGACATCTTGGGGCCATCTTAGCCGTCTTGGAGGCCATCTTGACCGTCTAGGATGCATCTTGGAGGCCATCTCGGGCCGTCTTGGAGCCGTCTGGACCAGGAAAAACGCTTTGGAACTGGGTCCCGGCAAATTTTCTGCATCCTTTCGGGTGGCCAGCGGGACGCGCCGGAGGTCCAGGGAGAGTTATTTTGGAAAAAGGACCAAACCCAAAACTGAAAGGGTCTAGCACGCCAGGCACCCCTGCGATGAATCGACAGGTGGCGGCGGATCCAGTCGCCTGCGGCAACACCCGCCACCGTGCCAGCCCAGCATTCTCGTTGGCAGCTATTCGGATCGATGTTGTTGCAATGTATGATGCTTCTGATGATGATGTCGATATTTATGATGATTCTGATGATGATGCCGATGATGAGGAGGATTGCGAGGATGCCGATACCGATGCTGATGCCGATGATGACGATGATGACGATGCTGATGGTGATGATGATGCTGATGATGGTGATGGTGTTGACGCTGATTGCTGCTGATGGTGATTACGATGATGATGACGATGATGGTGATGACGATGACGACGATGGTGGTGCTGATGATGATTATGATTATGATGATGCTGGTGATGACGATGATGATGATGATGATGATGATGATGATGATGATGATGATGATGATGTTGAGAATGATGAAGATCACGATGACGACGATGATGCTGCTGATGATGCTGATTATGATCATGATGATTACCCTAATGACGATGATGATGATGCTGCTGATGATGTTGTTGATGATGATGTTGTTTTTGATGCTGCTGATGATGAGGAGTATGAGGAGGAGGAGGTTGAGGATGATGATGGTGATAGTGATGCTGATTATTATGATGATGCTCATGATGATGAGAATCACTATCAGGGTAATGGTGATGATGATGGCTTCGGTAGCAACTCATGGGAGCCTTGCATGTCATCGCAACTCCATCTCTAGAGTGCATTCGCTTGCGCCAGCGTAAGATAATCGATGAGGAGTTGATGATTTAGCGTCTATCAGCGTGGAGATAGTGTCGAGTAGCGTCGACTAGCGTCGATTTGAAAGAGCCATCAATATGGCATGGGAGGCCCCAATAGGTTGCCACAGAAGATGACGACGAGAATGAGGAGAACGAGGAGAAGAGGAGGAGGAAGATGAGGATGATGATGATGCTGATGATGATGATGATGATGATGATGATGATGATGATGACGATGATGATGATGATGAGGAGACGGAGGAGGAGGAGGCGGAGCAGGAGACTGAGGACTGTGGCGGACTAGGGGAATGCATAACATGATGATGATAATGATGATGGTGTTGATGATGATGATGATGCTGCTGCAAATGATGATGATGCATATTCTGATGCTACTACTGATGCTGATGACGATGAGGATGATGAAAGTGATGATGATGATGACGATGATGCTGCTGATCATGATTATCATGATGATGCTGATGATGACGATGATGATGGTGATGGTGATGGTGATGGTGCTGTTGGTGTTCTTGATGATGCTGATGATGCTGATGCTGATGCTGATGATGATCATGATCATGCTCATGATCATGGTCATGATACTGACCATCATGCTGGTACGGACACCGAGGATAAGCATGGTGATGATGAGGAGGAGGAGGATAAGAAGGAGGACAACGAGAACGAGGATGTTGGTGATGCTGATGTTGATGTTGATGTTGATGCAGCTGCTGTTACTGTTGTTGTTCTTGTTGTTGTTAATGGTGACAGTGTCGGTGTTGATAATGCTGCTGATGATGCTGATCTGATCATTATGCTGATGCTCATGATGATGCTGATTCTGATGATGATGATGATGATGATGATGATGATGATGATGATGATGATAGTGCTGACGATGACGATGGTGATGATGATACTGATGATGATGATGATGATGATGCTTATGACGATTATGATGATGATAATGATGATGATGATGATGATGATGATGATGATGATGATGATGATGATGATGATGATGATGATGATGACGATGATGATTAGGAGGAAGAGGAGGAGAAGGAGGAGGAGGAGGGAAAGGGAGGATGAAGAAGAGGAGAGCCTTCACATGTAACACCTGCGCCTTCATTTCTCGAGGCGCCCTCATGGACCTCATTTGGACCTGCTTGGGGCTGTCCTACACTCCAGTGGGGCCGTCTTGGAGATCCCTTGGGGCCCTCTTGGGATGACTTGGGTTCGCCTGGGCCGCCTTGGGGCTGCTCTTGGGGCCTTCGTGGCCGTCTGGGGAATCTCTTGGGGCCGTCGTAGTGTCTGGGGCCGTCCAGGGGTCCTCTGAGACCGTCGTGGGTTTCTCTGGACGCCTTTTTTGGCCAGCTTGAGGCCCTCTTGGGCCCGTCCCGGGCTGTCCAGGGGCCCTCTTGGGCTGTCTTGAGGCCGTCTTGGAGGCCTCTCGGACTATCTTGAGGCCCTCTTGGCCCGTCTGGGGTCCATCTTGGAGGCCTCTTGGGCCGTCTTGAGCCGACGGAAACTCGAAGAGAACATCTTTCACCAACCATAGGACAACTACAGCTTGTCCGTCAGAATGGTACAGCTAGAACGCTAGTTGTTTCCAATTTTGCGTGCCTCCCGAAGTCTTGCTGGAGAGTTCCTCGGCCGCCTCTTGGGGCCCCTGTGGGGGTTCCTGGGTGCATCTTGAAGCCCCTGGGAGGTCGTTGAGTTGTTTTGGGTTGGTCTCGGGGCCTTCTGTAGCCGTCTCGAGACGGTCCTGACTTGCACTGAAGCCCAGAAGAGCGCCAGCGAGCAAAACTGGGCGATACTCTTGTATTGATCCCTCGCGCCGATCTGGGGGATCGCAACTGGGAGCCGCCAGAGGCCCTGTGTAGAATCAAGACGGTCAAAGTAATACCACTTTGGGTTCAGGAGAGGGCTTTGGTTTTCGGATCCAGGTCGGGGAACCTATTCGTGGCCAAGGCTACGCCGTGACCAGAGGAGCCCTTTGTTCCTTCTTCGCGAAGGCCTTACCGCCGACGCCGCCGACCCAGAAGGCGGAACCTCCCCCAGGACCCCCGCTGGGCGCCCCCCCCCCCCCCCCCCCCCCCCCCCCCCCCTGGACCCTCCGGGACCCCGGGGGAGCGATATTCTGACCTGGGACCCGCCCCCCCTACTTCCTCCTTCCCCCCCCCGTACCCCCCCTCCTGGCAGGGAAGGGATAAAGGTAAGGGGCTTCCCTTCGACTTCACTACGACGTTCTTTTTCCTTGTCCCTCAAGTTCCTGGGGGCTGACGACGACGACGACGACGACGACGACGGCGTCTTCCACACGCCGAAGTGTCGGTGAATTCAGCGTTGCTTATGGTAGAACGATGACTGCACCAGACAGCTAACATATACTCTTACATGTTCCAACTTTCCAAGGACACGGAATCGGATTGCTGTATCAATGTGCGTTGTGACATTGCAGCGCTGATGTTGGAGTTTGTTGTGCCTCTTCTCGAAATTCCTTTGCCACTATCACCGCCGATTATGTTATGCTACACTCGCTTTGGTTGCTGCTCGATACTTAGGTTTGCCGATGCCCGCCTCCAAGGGAACACCACGTAGGCAGAGTGGCAGAGCAGCAGGATGGGGCAGATTCGAACGGAGTCCCACTCGTCTACTCTTTCCCTTCGAGGTGCTGCTTGGGCTCTGGCATGAAGTGCTACGAGAGCAGCCTAGCCGGGCCTGGTCGAGCGCTGGGTGCATGGGTGAATCTTCGAATGATGTTCGGCTCGATTGCCAAGGTCCAGGGTGTTTGCACTAGGGCTTCTCACCTCGATCTCGAGGTAATCGGCTGGCGTTTCCGGATTGATTCGCCAGGTGGCCGCCCGCGGGCGCCTCGGTGGCGCCCCGTGCGTTGACTGGAGGAGGAGGAGGAGGAGGAGGAGGAGGAGGAGGAGGAGGAGTTGCCCGGTGTCTGCCCGCGAGCGCCTCGTGGGCGCCTCGTGCGTTGACTGTCATTCTTGGGACTCGCCCGGTGCCCGCCCGTGGACGCCTCGCGCGCTGGCTCGCGTCCTCTGGCGCACACGTGTCTTGCACCCCACAGGTTCCCCCCTCTAAAGAAGAGTAGGCGGCTCTAACACCCTCCTCCACCCCCTGGTCCCCCCTCCTCCTCCTCCTCCTCCTCCTTTTCCTCCCCCTCCTCCTCCTCCTCCTCCCCCTCACCTCCTCCTCCTCTCCTTCCTCCTCCTCCTCCTCCTCCTCCCCCTCCTCCTCTCTTTTTCCTCTCCCTCCTCTCCTCTTCCTCCTCCTCCTCCTCCAGCTCCCCTCCTCCTCCTCCTCCTCCTCCTCCTCCTCCTCCTCCTCCTCCTCCTCCCTCCTCCTCCTCCTCCTCCTCCTCCTCCTCCTCCCCCCTGGAATTAAACATGGTCCTAGGCTCTAGGACGTTGCAAATTACGTATGGTTTTGCTTCATCGCTCACGTTCCGTATGAGTCCATACGATCCCAGTCGATCGGGTATCGTTCCCCGCATCTTTGTCGAGTAATACAATGTGCGCGCACTCGTTTGTCTGAAAGGATCATGTTTCAATGATCTCTTGCAACAAGGTGCACAACGTCCACACCTGGACGCACATGTCGGAGTCGTATCAAACACCTTGTGCTTGAAAGTACTTCAGCATGCAAACATGAAACACCCTTCAGTTCAATTGTGCATCTTACAGATGTTCTGTTCGCGCGCATTTCCTGAACACATAGGTGACACCATATGAAGGTTGTCGACGCAATCCAATACAGAACTCTGCAACAACTAATGAAACCAACCAGTTTAGCAACAAGCCGCCTGTCAGGTTTCTTGCATACCGTGCGCACGCACTTCCTTACCATCACCCTCATCAGCGCCGCCGCATCGTCATCGTCTATCGCCGCCAGTGCCGCAACCATCAGCCAATCACTGTCACCACAGGCACGTGGACTTCATCATCGTCATCGCCGTCACCAGCATCGGCACTGTTATTTGCCTTGTCGTCGTCGTCGTCTTAATCACCGCCACCACCGCTGCTAGTGTCGTCATCGTTGCCGACATTGTCGACGTTATCGTGATACTGCGCCCGCCCGAGTCACTGACCCGCATTGAAGTGCCCTCGCGTCACCGTGGCTTTTGAGACGTGTTGGGAAGTTCCCATCGGTAAGCGCCATCGCGGCCGTGTCGGCTGTGCCAGTCCAGTTGGCCGCTCTGCGCGCGAGCTTTCGTGCGCCAGCGGAGCCGCAGAGATACGCCAGCCAGTGCCAAGTAGTTAGCCACCGCAATCGTGACCGCATGGCTCGTGCAACACAAGTTGCGGGTGGGAGGGTGGGACGATTGCGCGAACAGTGGAGTTGGCGACTTCAAGTTTTGCAAGGTGCACTGCGCCACATAGATTGCTCCACATAGGTTGCTCGCCATATACTGCACCACTCAGTTTGCACTGTATTTTCTTGAAGGGCGTAGGTCGCACTCGTAATACATATCCAGGGGTCAGTCATTCATTGTTTTGGTTTCATGCAGGAAGCCATGCATCTCCCATACGCATAACATATTGAGTGTGTCCGTGTTTTGCGCGTCATATACACACGCGAACATTTTGCCGCACACGCATGGCTATACACAGCTGGTCACTTACATATAGAAACGTGCACATGCATATGCACATGCATATTCATCTATATGTGTACATTCGCGTATGATGCAGGTGTACACGTGCGAACTTGCAGATGCATGCAGCATTCCATCCAGAGTCGCCGCCCGATCTTGTGGAGATTTTCTTGTGCAGACAAGCCGTGTTGATGCGACCCCTGCGGTGTTTATGATGCAGACTGTTCCAGCCTGGACGGGCGCGCGCCCTGCTTCGGACTACAGGCGGGTCTCCTCCTCATCCCCCTTTCCCTGATCTCTCGTCTTCCCGCCCCTCGTCGCCCTCCACCTGCGCCTCTCTACACATTCTGGAATCTACTCTCCTCGCTCCCCTGATTCGATTCCTTCTGGGGCCACTTTTCTGGACTCGACTCTTTTTTCATCGTTGTCGCCCCCCTCATTTCCCTTCCTCCGCCGTCCCTTCGCCCCTGCTGCTCCTCCCACTCCTTCCACTCCAGCTCCTGCTGCTGTTGTTCGTCCTCGTCCGCCTCGTTCTTCATCCCCCTCCTTTCCCTCCTGTTCACCCTCCTGCTCATCCGCCGCCGCCTCCTCCGATGTACGCAGCTCCTTCCTCCCGATAGCGCGCAACACGGTGTCCTCGTTGGAGTTCCGGGTCCGCTCTGACACGCGTCGGCGGACAGAGAACCAGCAGCGCAACGGGACGAGATGGGTGGGAGGGATAGGATGTCCGACCTGGTGCGGGCGCACCTGGCGTGCTCCTCCCCTCTCTCCCCTCCCCCTCCCCCCTCCCCCCTCGTACTCCCCCGATTCATCGCAGTGCGGCGGCGGCGCCGAGGAGAAGAACCCCTACTGGGCGGCGTGCCGGGCCAAGTGCAAGCCGGGCGCCGCTGCGGGGAGGGCGGGTGCATGCCCTGCGGTCAGTGGCAGTGGTTTCCCAGGGAAGGGAACGTCTCGGTGTTTGTTTTGTTTCCCCTCCTCCTCCTTCTCCTCCCTCGCTGCAGCGCCTCCCCCTCCTGTCCTCCTCCTCCTCTTCTACTTCCTCCCCCTCCTGTCCTCCTCCTCCTCCTCCTGCCCCTCCTGTCCTCCTCCTCCTCCTCCTCTTCCTCCTCCTCCTCCTCCTCTTCCTCCTCTTCCTCCTCCTCCTCCTCCCTCCTCCTCTCCCTCCGCGTCTCCCGCTGGGCTCTTGCAGGGCCGTCCTCCAGGGACGATCGACGGGCGCCTCGCCTCGCCTCGCCCTCCCCCCGCCTCTCCCTCCGCCCTCGCCCCTCTCCTCGCCTCTTCCTCTGTCCTCGTCCTCCTCCTTCCGCGCCCTCCTCCTTCCGCTCCCTCCTCCTTCCTCCTTCCTCGTCCTCCTCCTTCCGCTCCCTCCTCCTTCCGCTCCTTCCTCCTTCCTCCTCCTTCCTCGTCCTCGTCCTCCTCCCTGCCGCTCCCTCCTCCTTCCGCTCCCTCTTTCCCTCCTCCTCCTGGGAAGTTTTTTTGTTTTGTTTTGTGTTTATTATTCGTTCTGTTTTTTATTGTTATTAATAACAGTTGTTTTCCTTTCTCTTCTCTGGAGGAACGACAATGTCGACCGGTAGGTCTGACATGGTGTCGATTGCGGGTGCGTTGCCGACGAGGATGGCGAAGCGGATGATGATGATGATGATGATGATGATGATGATGATGATGATGATGATGATGCTGCTAATGATGATGATGATGATGATGATGATGTTGATGTTCATGTTGTTGGTGTGGTTGTTGTTGGTGTTGTTGATTATGTTGATGCTGTTGATGGTGGTGATGATGATGATGATGATCATGACGACGATGAGGATGACGATGACATCGATGACGATGACGACGAGGACGATGGTGATGATGAGGATGATGAGGACGATGACGATGCGGAGGATGGTGCTGCTGATAATGATGGTGATGATGCTGATGATGATCGCGACGACGACAAATGATATGATGGTGGCGATTAATTTGAAGACGATGCTGATGTTGCTGATGTTGAGATGATGATAGTGGTCATGCTGCTTTCCATGATTGCGATGATGTTGACGATGCTGATGCTGGTGATGATGATGGTGCTGATGTGGATGCTGATGTTGCTGCTGATGGTAAGCACTACGATGCTGATGGCGATGATGATGATGATGATGCTGCTGCTGATGATGATTGCTGGATGATGGTTATGATGATGATGATGATGATGATGATGATGATGATGATGATGATGATGGCAGGTATGATGCTGCTGATGAGGATGATGATGGTGATGCTGATGCTGTTGCTGATGAATCTGGTGATGATGACCTGATCAAGAAGATGATTTTGATGATGGTGATGCTGGTGATGCTTATGCGGGTGATACTGATGCTGGTGATGCTGAGGATGATGCTGCTGATGTATCATTGTGTTGATGATGATGATGATGATGATGATGATGATGATGATGATGATGATGGTGATGGTGATGTTGATGCTGCTGATGAGGATGATGATGATGCTGACGATGATGGTGGCGATACCGATGTTGATGATGACGATGATGATGGTGATGCTGCTGCTGATGGCGATGATGGTGATGCTGATGATGATGACGATGGTGATGATGGTGCTGATGGTGATGATGGCGATGATGGTGATGATGGTGATGATGCTGTTGACGACGATGATGCTGATGCTGATCGTGATGAAGATGATGCTGAGGATGATGCTGATGCTGATGATGATGGTGATATTGATGATGCTGCTGCTGACGACGATAATCATGATGGTGATGATAATGATGCTGCTGCTGCTGCTGATGATGATGATGATGATGATTATGATGCATGTGATGATGATGAGGAGGAGGATCGGAGGAGAGAGATGGGTTGAGAGTCATGGCGGTGGGAGGGGAGAAGGAGGTGGATGGGGAGGATGAGGAGCGTGAGACCAGGGCGATCTTCCCCCTTCGCCCCAATGGTCTTGCACCCCTTCTGCTCTCTTCTCCTCCTGGGGTGCAAGAAGAGGGCAGGCTGTTAGATCTGAGCAGTTAAGATGGTGGAGATGTTGATGATGAGGGGAGGGAGAAAGAGGAGGAGGAGGAGGAGGAGGAGGAGGAGGAGGAGGAGGAACAGGAGGAACAGAAGGAGGAAGTGGGGGAGGCAAAGGAGGAAGAGGAGAAGAGCAAGAGGATGATGGGAATGCGTAGTGCACGGGAGGCCAGATCGACCTCACCGAGCCAGAAGAGTACCGAACCAACTG